TAAAGTGCAGTTTATAGCTTATGGGTAGTAAAAGACCGTTTATTTCCTTTAGAGAATCGCCGCTGGATAATATATGTTGAGATATTTGATAAACAGTTGTAAAAGTGCCTTGAGTCATATGCCTCAACCATATTATGTCATTTGAAATCCACTTATGGAATCATTTGCAAAATGAAATGAATATAGAATCAAGTGTTTTTCAATCAAATGAGCAGCACTTGAATTAGATTTGTAAGGCAGGCATTTGAAGTTGAGATTGTGAAAGCTGAAATTCTAAAATTATCGCCCATGCCAATGCTCGTTCTCTCTGTACTCTCCTCCCTTATGTTCGCTTACTGATTGAATAAAATTATTATTAAATTTAAGGCATAAATTCTGAATTGCTGAATGCCTACATCAGAGCTAAAAGTTTTCATATCTTAGCGAATTTCTCTATATCAAAGGCAGAAGCTTTCGTATCCCTCACAGTTATTATAATTTCATTCAGAGCAGCTCCTAAAACAAATCCCTGGCTGGCTGTCGTCACATGCGCACATTAGCACCTACCTATGCTGACCCCAAACGACATTTTAACAACTCACTTAGCGAGCACATTAAGAACTAAAACTTGCTGCTGCAGCAGCAATGCCAACGCCCCCAGCAGCAGCAGCAGCAGCAACTGAACTGGAGGGTAGCTTACGCAGTAACAAAGGCAATTTAGAGCGAGGGCTATAAACATTTTTGGCAAACCGCAAATGCAACGCCCCCTTAAAAGGCAGACCACAACAGTAACAGCAGCAACAGCAACAACAACAACAACAACAGCAGCAACAGCAATTGTATTTCCGACGTGGCCACGTGCTGAGCATAAACTGCGTTCAGCCTTGTATTTCCCCTCACGGCACAAGACAATTATTCGCGTATGACGCGCAAGTCGTATAATTTTTTTATATGTATCACGCGCCCTCAATACGTATTGGTAATTTAGATTTTAAGCATCCATCATGTGCGTAAATCATTTGTTAATATTAATTTTAATTTCAAACGAAAAAATTATGATTTTAATTTTGCGTATAACTCATAAATATTATTTCTTATTGCGTCCGCAAATGATGCGCTAAATTGTAGTTGGCAATGATTGATGGGTAAGCCAAGAGGAAATGTTCAGCCAGGAATTCCGCTCTCCTTCTCTGTCCCACTCTCCCCAGCTCACGCCGTTGCTCTCTTTCCAGCTCGCTGCATGAAGCGCTGGCATGTTTACTTTGGGCCGAGCACACGTAAAGCAAGTCATAAAAATATTTCAGCGAAAGAATGAAAAGTGAGTGAAAAAAAAACCGCACACACACATACACACTCACACTCACACAACTAACAAAACGTTGTAGGTCATGTGTCATTTTCAGAGCCCTCAGTGTCGCTCGTTGCCCACGTTGCATGTTGCTTATGTTATTTGTTTCCACTTTGTTGGCAGCCAGCGAAAACTTTAACAAACATTTTGCAACAAACATTTTTGGTGTCGTGGCAGCCAGCGGCTGAAATTGAATATTCAATTTTAGCTTTGTCTCCTTTGGTATTTTGTTGTTTGCAATTTGTGGATGCGACAAGGCGAGCCGAGCCGAGCCGAGCTGAATGCGCGGCAAATTGTTTATGAGTTTTAGCACCGGTTCGGGAGTTGCGAGATGGAATTTTTAGGCGCAGATAACTTTCATAACAAAATATGCAAATTTTACAAAGCATATTTGAGCACTCCAAAATATATCTCAAAAGCAATGGGAAAATGGGCAAAATATATATAAGCTACTTATAAGTAGGTTTTAATTATTTAGATAGAGTTATCTACAGTTTTTAGTGAAACGCTAAGGCATTAGAAATATTTAAAAATTCTTAATATAAGTAATATATCATGAGAAACGTTTTGAGTTATAAGAACCAAAATTATTTTTAAATGGCTTGAGATTCAAAATAAATATTAAATAAGTAACAAAAAAATAAATAAAAAATAACACAAAAAATATTATTATAAAAAATAATATTTTCAAATATAATTCAGTATATTAAAAGAAAAAAAAATTTTGTACTGCGCCAAACTTGAATATAATATAATTGTTATGAAAGTAAAAACCTTGAAAATGTATTATAGGAAGTAACGATTTCAATAAATAATCAAATAATCAATAATTCTTGGGAAATTTTACTGGCCAAACAGAACTATAATTAAACTTAAATTAATTAATTAAACTTAATTGCTATGCAACTGAAGAAAAGTATTATAACAATTTTCATAAAATATCATTAGATATTTCCTGACTCAACAACCTTGGAAAGTAATAAGCTTCTAATCGAAAGAAAAAATATCCAATAAATGTCACATTTAATATTTTCAATTTGGAAAACCTTTTTGACTTAAGAAAATGAAAGCAAAACTTCATTAATATGCAAGAAAGCGACTAGACTTAAAAAAAGGTTGCTAAAATAATGATTCAATTTATAATTAAATATAATTCTATACTCTATATTTCTTGGCAAACCTTTTTGACTTAACACAACTAAAATGAAACCAAATTAATAAATAAATAAAAATCATTTAGCTTGAAAGTTATTTTAAGTACAAAATTTGGCCAGCTGAAGTTTCTCTAATACCAAAGGGTCAAAACAAGTGGGCTAAAAGCAGCAAAAGGACGCATTTTTTGTTTACACAGTTTGCCCCTTCAAAGCCCACGACTTAATTAAACTACGCGCTTCATCGTGTTCCCAAAGCTGGCAGCCAATTTAAAATCCCTTTTCGCTTTTTCTGTACAAATTAAATCCATAACAAAATGTCAACACTCAATCATTAAGAAGTCAACATAAAAATTGAGGAGCTACAAAAAATGTGGCTCGGAAATAGGTCAGCCAATGTGTGCGGAGGGCAGACAGAATATGCTTCGGCTGGAGTGGAATAACAAAAAGAAAGTAGAACTTCTAATTGCCAGAGTATATATCGATATTGGGACTATACAATGGAATCACATCAAATATGCGAGCCTGTTAACGGTCGAAAGCACCAATTTTGAAGCTGTTTAGATGCAAATGGATGCGATAAGGAGTCGAGCGGAAACCAAACTATAGCCAAAGCACAGGCCCAGGCCCAAGCCACAAACATGAGGCAACTGGCAACTGGCAGCAATTGAAAGGCAGGAAAGAAAAATTATTGCAAAACCCGAGCCAGATTTTATGTTATTTTTATGTCGAACTGAGGAGAAGAGGCAGCAGAGAGGCTAGGAGGTGGGCGGGCGGCACACACACACACACACACAGTTTTATTTATTCATGGGCACGCTGACTTGTACGTCAGAGCCCACCAGGACCCAGCTAGGATAACACAACTGGGCGTACAATTTAATAAAAAATATATATATTTCTATATTTGTGTATATCCCAATAAAATAAGAGAATTTTATATTTGAGTTTTATGCGCTAGCCACATACCTGGCGCTCGTAAAGCGCCAGAGAAATTTTTAAAAATATGCAGCAAGTCTTAAAATTATAGTTAAAATGAAAAGTTGATGGGAAAACTTAAACGTAGCTCGTACCTCGTCCAATTGCTGTTTGCTCGGCCTCAGCACTAAAGTATGCAACACTTTTTGAATTTCAAAATATACTGAGAGTCGCGCGCACTTTCGCTTTTTAACTGCTGAACAGAACCTATCGAACCGAACACCTCGCTAGATTTGTGAAACTGGCCTCGTTTGTTTCACGGGTTTGGTTAAAAAGCGTCTCACGCTCGCTCAGCTCAACATTCGGGCACCCGAATGTGTGTGGGCAAACGAGTGATGTTTTTGGCCACTGTTAACTGGCTGCATGGACCTGAAACGCCATGGAATTGAGACACACGCCTTGCTAATGTGTATGAGTGTGTGTGTGTGTGTGTGTGTTTGTGGGAACCAACTAAACAAAAAGTAGGTCTACTATGGCAGGCGAAATGAGTGGAAATGGAGCTGGGGCCTCTCTCACCTTGGCAGGATGAATCCTAACCAACCGCAATGTGACTCAAATTGTGCGCTCCACTCGAAAGCTTTGAGCAAAGCTTTTATTATAGTGGGCATTTTGTTGGTAAATTTCCCAGTATTTTTCAAACATATATAAAGGTATAGTTTAAGCTCTAAATACCTGTTATTTAAATTAAGCTGAATAAAATGCCAATATTTACCTGCAAATAAGAAAGTGAAATGCAAATTAGTTCCAAAACTAATGAAAATTGAATACAAAACGAAATCTAAGCTGAAATACACACATTTAAACACATGAACATAAACAGCTCTGTTATACGTAAAGAAGGGAAGTTCGAGGAGCGTATAACAAATACAAAATACGAAAAGAGAG